ACTAAAAACGCCGTTATTTTTGACATCTGTAGAGATCCCTTTACAGCTGGCTTTATCTAAAAGATCGTTTTAAAAAGAAATCATAATTCCATTTCTTTTTCCTATGTTTAGATGTTTCTATTACAGTGGATTACAGTGGAGTGTAAATATAGACATATTATTTTTTTTCCAAAATAGAATTAACCCATTGTGATTGTTATTTATAGCTTTTGGTGATCATTTCGATAGAAAGAAAATTGATGATCAAAAGTGTAATTTTATAGGCAAAAGTTAAAAATAGATATACACGAATCCTACAGAGAATCTATAGAAAACCTATCCAAGATCCTCAAGGGTTTTGAGCAAACGAAATTCACCACCATTAGAATTATAATAAAAATTTTCTATTCGAAAAAATTGAACAAGAAAAAACGCACGATTTAAACAAAAAAAATTTGGAAAATAATCGGTCAATCGCTTGTAGTATCTAAAAGCCAAGTGGATATTCGGATACAGTCGATTCTTTTCAATAAGTTCTCTGGCTAATGTTCTCGTTAATTTTGAATGTTTTAAGAATGCTTGATCTGTGACTAACTTTAAAGCGGGAGGGGGCATAAGGCCATTTCCTGGCCCGCGAATTTTCCGAGATTTTTGCGTTGAAACTATGTCAGAAGATCCCCAGGAACATTTCCACGCACTTAATTTCGCGAAATCTCTGGATCGATTTTTAACTTTTGCTTTCACAGTTAGAAAGAGCTCAAACAGTTGTATTTTGTGGCGAAGTTTTGAGGTGGTACAAGTGTGGCTTTAGATCCAAAGGGCGGTGTCAAAAACCTGGTTTTTCGAGGTTTTGCAGTATTTGGAAAATTTGGGGTAAAAAAACTTTACTCAAAAAGTTTTGTTTTATCACCAGTGAGTAAAGCATATTTTTCCGGTTCACGACAGTTGCTGTTAATTCATTTTTCACGCTAACTCTGAGCTCTAGCGCCTGAAAACCCCATTTTTTGGCGAAAGATCTGTTTTAGTGAAAAAACATTTCCCGAGCTATCGGCTCACTTTTGAGAACCTTCAAGGTAATATTCGTGATCAGCATAGTCGACTCTATATTACTAGACGCTTCAACATGAAAGAATCGACCAAAAGTTTTCTCGAAACTTCTGTAGGGGACTTCAAGCGTCAAAAAGCCGATCGAGAGATTTCGTGAAATTAAGTGCGTGGAAATGTTCCTGGGAATCCCCTGACATAGTTTCAACGCAAAAATCTCGGAAAATTCGTAGGCCAGGAAACGGCCTTATACGCTCTCCTCCTTTGTGTTTGTCCTAATGTACCCTTCTTCATACCAGATATTAGCTAAATTTGATTGATGAACAGCTTCTAATACATTTTTTTTGAACGATTCTACACAATGTGACAAAGCAGCAGCCATTGTAAATGAATCCATGAATGATTCACCAATACGTACGATAATAAATTATTCATCACGTATCGATTTATTATATATAATCAGAATATTTTCAACTATGTAGCTAAAACGATCTATCGGTTTGGATAGTAATTGTCGAAATTTTTACAATGATAGATGAAGGTGAACCGATAAACTTGGTCCTGAGGTCATGCCTGCTACTCTTGGTAATCGTTTTTTCCCGTCATCCATACTGACATTTAAATTAAAACTTTGGAATGATTTTTGTAATTGTCGTAATTGTAAACCAGCATATCGCCTGAAAAAAAACCGGTGTTTAATTGAATGAAATGCTAAGGATACACCTTTACGCATTTTTGATCAAACATTCGAAAATTCTATTTTTCACTGGCATACACAGTTTGAACTTTGAACTGTCCAGTTTGATGTGAATACAAAATCAAAAGCAATGAAAGTCGATTTGATCTTCAATGATGAAAATCGGGTTGTTCAAAAAAGTCCTGTTTAGTATATGTTTCTGTTAAAAGTGCATTTTCTAACATAAAACATGTTAGCATATGTTGGCACATGTGTCGTACACGTTTCTGTACATGTCTGTTGAATGCGCAATGATTGACTAACTACACGTACTGCACTTTTGTGAAAGACATGGTTAAAATTTCTAAATTTTTGATGACTAGCATTCGCTTTGTTTCAAGTCAAATTACAGCCATCTCAAATCGGCCAGACGTCAAGTTTTAATCGACAAAATGTTAACAAAAAAATAATAAAATGAAATAACAAATACATCTCAGTCGATATCATTGTTTTCATCATCTTCGTCTTGATAAGTGTCATCATAATCAATTCCATCGTTGTCAATACCTTTCACTAGGTTTTTACTCGCTTCTGTTGCAGGCTGTTTTCTCGCTTGCTGTATGTTTTCTTCGGTTAATGAGTCATCTTGTGCATGTCGTTTTTTGGATTTCAATTGTTGTTCACGTTCCGTTTTTCGTTTATAATAATCTTTTATATTATCAATTCGTGTTTTAAATAATTGTTTATATGCTGAATCATTTGGTTTACATAGAAAAAACTCATTGGATGACAGTATTTGATTAACGGATTCAATGGATGAGGATGTGCTTGTGTCAAATTTATAATTCGTTGAACATGTTAAAATTTCTATTATATCAATTTGTAATAATCTGTTTGTATCAAATAAAACGTAGAGTAAACATTTTGGTTTTGTCGAATAATAGTGTTCAATAAGAATTGATTTAGGTGAAAATGAATAATCAACTATTGAACCATAACTATGGTCAATAACAAGTTTTTTTTGTTCATTATTCATTGTTTTAATATTTGATAATGTTGTTATATAAATACAATGATGACGTTGAGAATATAAAGAGAGAGCAATAAATGTTGGATTCGTCTCGAAAATGTCATGATTTTTATCATTATCTGTACAACATGAACCAACATCTACTTTCCATATTGAATAATCTTGAATTGATGATGTTGAATCGACTGTTACTGTTAAATCCATATCATTACCGCTTGATGCAGTAATATAATCAACAATTTGTTTATCATCACCATTAATAATGCGTGAACAGACAGTCTCTTTACCTGTGTAAAATACGGATTTTGCACTACTAATAAACGCTTTCATATGTAATACAACTAATGGTGAACACTCGGGAATACACCATAGGCGTAATGTACCTAAAAGAAACGAAATAGTAATGATAAAGATTTAAATTCGCTTCCTCACTAATTCAACCTATCAACGTGAAGAAAAAAATAACAGTCATTTAGAGTCGCGGAAAAGTGCATTTTCATATTCAGGACATTCGATAACCCAGAAGATTTTCTATTTTTAGCGAGGGGTACTGCCAAAAGTTTAGGAAAAAATTTTGAAGTGAATATTATTTTCCTATGGAAATTCTTTTTCACTATTTTGTTTGAAAATTTTTTCTCAACTTTTGGCAGTACTTCTCGCTGAAAATAGAAAATCTGCTGGATTTCTGCTGAATATGAAAATGCACTTTTCCGTGACTCTAAATAAACTTTATTTTTCTATTGATGGTATGAGTGTATCTGTTGTATCTCTAAGTTATGTTTTTCATCTTCTTACAAATGATTACACGAATTAAGTGTAAACTTATGCAAAAGCATTTATTATGGGAGAAATGACGACGTGACAAAATAATACTAGGGATCAAGGAATTTCAAAATGTGAATATCATTTTTGTAAATGTAAACTAATAAATGTGTTATGTAATTACAGATATTCTCACATGAGAACAAATAGTATGCTCTTTTAATGATACGTCACAATTTCAATATCAAATGATTTTCTCTTTATGTAATGCTTCAATTCAGAGTGTAACGTAAAATTATTTCGTTTTTGTAAACAATAATTGCTATTATTTTACTGTCGATGACTTTTTGCTTTAGATTAATTCAAAGATACTTTATGAGAAGTTGTCTATCTATTTGACATTTAAATGAGTGAATAAACAGTCATACACTGTAGTAGATTATAGATTTTATCTAAGTTAATCTCTGCCAAAAAAATTATTGTATTAATTTCAACTTCGGCGAAAGATGATCGTTTAGATATGGCATATGCATGATGAACTTAATCAAACAAAATCAAAACATTATTTACCATCTCCCGATGTTGATATAAAATGATTATTATTGATCAGTTTAATATTTGATACAAATTCTTGATGTCCTAGACAATATGCTTCAATATTATATGCATTTGGATAATGACTTAAACGAATTTTTTCATCTCGATCAGCCGTTAATATATATTCCTGATATGTTGTTGATGTTATTGGATGTTTAATATAGCAAATATCAAGTAACATGGATAAATGTCCCATAATACTATCAACATTTATTGTTTCCGTATCATTTTTTAATAAAAACTCATATTTATAAACATCACCGGATTTATCAGCAATAAACAATAGATTATTTGTTAGATGCAATGCGGATGCACGTTTTTTAACTTGAATAATTTTTAAATTTTCCCAATAAATATTTGACATTGTAGTTGATAAATATTCATAAAGATAAAGTTTTTTCTTCTGACCATTGAATGCTAAATATTTACCATTTGGAGAAAATGTTATCATATTACGATTCAATTCAATTTCGCTATGATCGTTATTCTCATTTGTTTTTGTCATTTCATTATTTTGATCAGGTTTTAATGATAATTGTTGATCTTGATGTTTAATTAATTGATATTGAAGTGGATCATTTAAATTAAAAACATAAGCCCCATCAAGAATGGACACGGCTAACCAATTTGTTGAACTAATATCGATTTCAGACATCTACAATAAACATTCATAAAAACACAGATAACTATGTACATTAGGTGCAAAGGAGATCGTCTATTTAAGAATATAATCCAAATAGTCAACGAAGAATAGATGAACGTTCAGTTCATAAAGCTTTAATTCAATCCATAAAAACTGAATCGTTGAAAATAAAATAAAGACAAATTTCTTTCTTCGAAGAGTATTTTTTTTTCTTCTGCATTTTCCTATTGTATTTCAAATTCTTTTTTTATATCAGTACGAGACATGAGATGATACAACAAAAGAAAACAAACATATACAATTATTTCATAGTGTTTTTTTTTCGAATGAACACTGTCTGTGTGTGTGTGTCTGTGTGTGTGTATGCGAAATATCTACAAAATAACATATATCTATTTCCACACACACACACACACACACACACATACACATACACACATATATATAAAGCAGAACAATGCATACAGGCACACAACAATAAAAAACTAAACAAACGCAAAAATATTAAATCTACCTATTAATCGATTGTTGTATATTCAACAAAACAGTTACAAAATAGTAACAAACAACAACAAGCAATTATGTAGAAAAAAAACAAATGAGGATAACAAGACAACCTGAATTTAATGTAAACACGTAAAAAAACAAAACAAATATCATTCAATCTTTTTCTAATGTTTATAACTCTTTAGTAAAAAAGAAAGAAAAAAACAACAACAAAATAATAAGAGAAGAAATATTACGCTCAAATGTGACGGTAAAAACATTTTTTCTTTATAAGGATAGATGACTAGGGAAATATATATTCGAGTTACATATAAAAAAAACATATAGTTTTCATCAGGTTAGGATGCTAGAGCTCTAGGTTAATATAATTTCATTATACGTTGTTATTTATTTTTCTTTTATAGTCTGATGTAGAGCTTAAAAGGACTTAAATACTATTAAACTACGACTGACAATCAATAGATTGCTGCTTGTTCTTACAAGTCACAGGTACACTTTTAACTATGATGAACTAAAATCACAAATAGATTAAAATGTTTAACATAACGATTTTATTTCAAAATTTCTGAAGAATACTCGAAGTTTCTTGTTCACTTTTAACAATATTCGATCAAAAAAGTTTATTTAAACGTCAGAAATATTGCCTTATTTTAGAATTTTCTATATTTTTCCATGGTGATTTAGAATAGAAGGCAAATGAAAAATTATTAAGAATTTTCTTGTTCTTATTTCGTTTTTACATCACTTGAAAATCTGCTAAATCAAATGTATTATGATTAAAGTTATAAGAATGTAAATAATGATGATGGTGATGATTATGATGATGGCTTCTTTCATCGTCCGTATCATCTTTATGAATTTCCGAGTCAACTGCTGTTGAAACAAATGGATTATTTTTGACATATTGTTCAATATCGGATACATTTAAATCATTTAACGTTTGAAAATTTTCTAATGAATCGGCAGCAACATAATTCATGTTTAAACATTGTTGTATATGTTGTTTAATAATATCATCAGTTGCCTCATCTGTCATTGATGTTATCATATGTGGTGTTGTTGTATCAAGAAATGTGGTAGATATTGATGATTCATCTTGAAGTTGATCTTGTATATTATTCAATGGAACGGCAGCTATTTGTTTATCATTTGTATTTTGTTTTTGATTTATTAAATTTAACTCATCATGATTAACAACGGTTATCTCATATTCAGTTCCTGATTCTAGTACATCTTTTTTACGTATAATAACTTCAATTTCATGTTTTTCTTTTAAATGTGTACGCAATTTACTGGCATGAAAAAATTGTTTTGAACATAGCCAACAAACAAATGGTTTATAATCGGCATGAATAATCATATGTTTTCGTAAATCATCGTTGCATCTAAATTTATATACATACAAAAAAAAAGTATTTATCAGATTTTTCAAATAAATTACAAACGGTATAAAATGAGTGATAGATGAAATAATATTTGTTCTATTACCTGAATGTTGCTTGACATCGTTCACATACGTATGGTCGTTCATCTAAATGTCCACGTATATGCACTTCTAACTTACATGGTGCTATAAATGATTTTTTACAATAAGGACATGCGTACGGACTAATGCCTAGATGTCGTTGAATATGATGACGTAAATTTCCCCACTGACTAAATTTTGATCCACAAAAATCACATGAAAAAGGTTTATCTCGAGTGTGAACACGTTGATGTTTACGTAATGCGTATGCTGATGAAAATGTAGCTTTACAACGTTCACACACCAATGTCGATACTTTTCGTTCGGGTTGATAAGTTTCTAAATGTAATTTTTGACCATGTTGAGCAACATGACGTTGTAAACGATCGATTGATACTGTAATTAAACCACAAATTGGACAAGTAAAACGAGCGGATTTTGGACCACGCTAGAAACAAACAAAAATATTCTTAAGAGAAACAAATATATACCGTTCAGACATACTACACGTGGTAATAAATTGTACGATGACGAAGATGGTGTTAGTAACGACTTTTTCAATGGTTTTTGAACTTTAATCATTGTTGTTGGTTTATCACTTAATCGTTCAAGTTGAACAACGGATTTTTTAATTAATGAAAAGGCTTCGTGTAATTCATTAGGGTTATTCAAATTGAAATGTGTACGAAACGAAGTTGGAATTGTTGACGTTTGACAATTTGAGACAGATAGTGGACGAGTAAATGTAAACGGTATAGATGTTGGTTTCAACAGTTCACCTACAAGAAAAATGACCGAAATATGGAATCCGTTCTAGTTATTACAATAAAAAACCCTCATACTGTTTTGTGACGCTTGTACTGATTGACTATTTGATGTTGCGGTAGAGAATAAGGATGCTGTATCTCGATCGTGTTCAAATAGATTTACACCAGTATTATAATCACTGGTTGTTTCATCAATGTATGTTGATAAGTCATTAGCTAAACTAATTAATAGTGCTTCATCTGATAGAAAATTATCGCCCATATATAGATAATAAGATAAATAATGAATATATCTAAAATAGGCTTACGTTTAAACTAAACGGTAGTAGCATTCTACACGAAGTTCATGAAGAAAACATTCAGACAACCTTTCGTATCGTCATTCGAATGTAAAATACGCTGAATTCTAGTTTTTATTGATTTACTATTATGTGTCGAAAACGAAATTAGTGACATCTTTCTTTTGTCTATTCAAAATTACTGACCTCTAGATGTTGACGTAGTCCACGTAATTAGAAAAATACATTTGCAATTCAAGAATTTTGCTCACATACTTCACATACTTTGGTTGACATACTAACACTTCAAACTAATTACAAAATATGTAAATAATCTAGCATTTCAATCTTATAATGGTTCACACAACATCAAATTAAGAATGCCAAAAAATAATTAATTATATAAGGATTTTTTTCTTGAAAGAGACCCGAAGGAAAAATGTACAATTTCTAACATTAACAGTGTCTTGCTTAACGGCCATGAAGAGCACCTAATAGTTCATAATTTCAGTGTATCTCTTGAAAAATAGCATTTTCTTACAAAATGAAGAAATTTAAAAAATATTTATTTTCATTAGTTAACAAAAGCAAATTTTTGCGTTAGTAGTTGCAAAAAAAAAAAAATAAGCGACACATAAATATGTGAAAACAAATAAAATCTCTTATTTTAATATTTGTAATAGGAAAAACTTGTCAAATATAAAAATATATAACAAAATGGAATGATAAAAAAGAAACGATAAAAAATTTTTGATACTAATAATAGTTTACAATAATATACATTTGCGCTTTTGATGTTTTTTTGTTTTCGGAGTTAATACAGTTATTATCGCTTCATCAAATACCGATTTTAAACCACTCTAAAAGTAGAGAAAGAAAAATTATTTTCTTAACCTTCCTATGTTGACTTTGAATTGGGAAAACAAAAGGAGTCTGCTTAGGTGAAAACGTCAGTACAAAATATTGATTCAAATCCCATTTGCTCTGAAAAACTATAGTCTAGGAGAACGTATATGTTACATCTATTCTGTACTGAATCATATTCGAGAGATTAAAAAAGAATAATAGTGAATTGTAGTATTGATTCTGATCAAAGGTACTATAGATTGTAAAATACCTATTAGTCCTCACTACAGAATAGATCATAGTTTCTATTATGGTTTCGCACATCGAACATTTTTTTCAAAAAATCGTGCAATACTAGAGGACGATTTTGAAAAAATTTCGCTCTATGCTGGCTTTCTGATATTAGTGTGATCTATTAATCTAATCTGAGGATAGGTTTACTTGAAAAAGATTAAATATTTTAAATCTAAAATTACTTGTGTTTTTGCTGATACTTCAACATATTTAACCGCGTTGATCTGTTTTGCCATTTTCTCGCCCTGAAGTTTTGTTATAGGTGGTTGTTTATATAAACGTTGCAAATGCTCTAATGTTGCTTTGTCGTCACGCAAATCAATTTGAGTACCAACTAAAATACATGGTGTTTCAGGATTATGATGAGATAATTCAGGTAACCACTAAAACAAAAATAAACATTTCATAAAAATTTTTGCTTTTTGCAGTGATGCTTCATGAAATACTTTATCTCGAACATTCTCTAATGAGGGTGGCAAAACAACACTGAAACACACAAGAAAAATATCAGTTCCCGTATAGGACAATGGTCTGAGACGATCATATGCTTCTTGTCCAGCTAAAATCAAAAGCAAAAATATGAGAAAACAGTGTATAAAACTCACATTGTTTACCAGTATCGTAAAGTCCAAGAGTATGGGGTTGATCATTGATCATTACTGTTACTGCATAACTATCGAATATCTAACAATCAGACAAACCGTTTTTTGTTTATAATGCTAAGCAAAATGAATTGACATTCATCTCTTACTGTTGGTACATATTTGAGTGGAAATGAATTTGTTGTATAAGTTATTAACATACAAGTTTTTCCTGAGAAAAAAGTGAATATAATTTTAAAAATCGAATATCAATGAAAACCTTTTCGGTTTACCGACTGCGCCATCACCCACAACTACACATTTGATTGTTTTCATCGGATTCATCGCCATTATTTTGTCTAGAAATATGTTTGGACAAAGAAAAATAAATGATTTAAATAGTTTTCAGTAATATAAAAACATAATTAGCGTCTTTAGTAATTAAAAGTTTTCAAATTAATAGAGAAATCTTTGTAGAAAAAAAAGTCATGTATCAAGATATGCTTTTTTCTCAAATATTTTAGATTATTACGAAATGTATACGTTTTATAAGTGCTTAAAGAAAAGAAAAAGCATAAGTAATTAATATACACAACAAAGAAAAGGAAGAAGGACCGCAAAAACAACTGTAAGATATTTATTTCAAAAAATATGAAGTAGATATGATCAGACTAGAATTGACAAAGAACTTCTTTTTTCCTCCGGCATTTTCCAGGACTACAAATTTCAACATGGTATGAGTAATCTACACCTTGATCGAATTCAGATGTGACTAAGGTGACGCATAATGATAACATCTGCCATGAAAGAACAAAGTTTTTTATCTTTATACGAGATCATATACAGAAATATGTTTCTTTTTCGATTGTTTTCAGAAAACGACGTATTTTAAAAAAACTCATTCAGTTTGTGCACAAATTATAGGCTAATAACTTTCGTCAATTTATCGTTCCATACCATTCTAACTGTTTACATATCACGTAAACTTGAAAATCGAAGAACTAATTTAAATCTAAGGAGTGTGAAAGTAAGAAACAGGCGCTTAAGCGCCGATTTGTAGTTAGAACTTATCTATGTTAATGTTATAACTAAAATTTTCTAAACTGAGAAAGTGAAACAGTTCGACTAATATAAGAGACGATTGAGAATCAAAGAAATTATGACTCTGTTCACTAAGTCTAATTCTTGAAGAAAAGATTTGCGTAAAGTCTTAGTTTTTTTTTCCTTGTTTCAGCTGTAAATATCTATTGATGGAGAAAGTAGTCGTTATAAATACTGACGATGGTTTCGACGAAATGATTAGTGAAGTTAAATTAAAAATCGTAATCCTGATGCTTCTATTATTGCAGATGATATCTATTAGGTAAAAATAAAAATTTAATGATTCAAGGACAAAGTTTCGTGACGCGACTACTGAAATAAAAAAAATTTTAAGAAAACACACGAATTTATCTGTAATAATGAAACTGTTGAAACCAAAAATGAACAGAATTAGATTATTATACAGGAAGTCGCGGATGAAGATAAAACATTGTATTATAAAAACTTCAGCTGACCGTTTTCGAAAAATGATAGAGGATGAAACATGCAACGTAACGTTAGGTTCATTTAACTGCTCACTTTTAACTAATAGAAGGCGATATCACAAGAAATCTGTTTTTGCAATATGTTTAGGTTTTATTTTGCCACAGAAAACACATTAGAAAACTGTACAAAAAATCCACCGAAAAATGTGGCATCATGTTTTATAATGTTTTTCCACAACAATCGGTCGACATAGATTAGATGAAAAAGTTAAGACAGAAACTCGACAATTAATGCATTTTTTAACGTGCATACAGAATATAATCATTACACAATGTGCATAAATTCAAGTCCAATATTGTTGTTTCTTATATAAGACGAAATCTAAATATACACACTGATACAATTGGATGAAAACTATCGATGAATCCAAAAACAACGACAGCCCTCTTTACTGTAATCAGTAACAATGGAAGATGTCGCGTCTACCCAAGATAGTGGCCTCTGGTACTCATGATTTGTTTCAGTATAAAAATAAATATCAAACTATTGAAGTTACTCAGAAATATTGAAACAAAACAGCAATGAAAGAGAAAAACATGTCTGTATGCAGGAAAGAACGGAAGAATATAAACAAGAGTAGAAAAAAAGTTAAATAAATATTACGTTGTCTTTACCAAATTAGGGTATCACAGAGTTATAACCGGACCGGTTGAAATGGTTGGACCGGCCGGTTTTTACCGGTCTAAAGAAATTTTTTAGTCGTAAAACTCCCTTTAGTCCCCCTCAGGATTAAGTCATAAAATGAATTTCACAATTTTCTAGATATACAATTTTTTTCAATAAAATATGTCGAGAGCAAGTCTAAGTTCTTTTATCAAAGATAATCATATTGTTACAAAAAAACATCAACCTTATTTTCTTCAATTTGTCTAAACTTTTTCATTTTTTTAATCGAAATTTTTTTAACTCCCTAAAAAGCTCAATCAGAAC